CATTGATATAGATACAGGGGATGTCAAACCAAAGAGGAGAGAGGATAACTTTTGGATGAGGCCAAATTTCTGGTTGGTATGGTCAAATGAACTTGTGCAGGTAGCATAACAGTTCAGGCACTGGCCACAATTCTAAGGCTGAGTTAGGGTGGCTAGTAGAAACCTGGACTGAATGCTGGATTCAGCGAGGTGATAATGAAAAGCCAGAAAATCTCGGTACAACTAGAGGAGATCAGAGTGGTACATGGGCTCTAAAGGCTCAACCTTTCTACTGATACCTTCAGTATGTCCTTCAGGGAATCCACAACATGTGCTCTGCTGGAGGGTGTGCAAAGTGTTGGTGAGGAAAGTGCTAGAATCTTTCAGAAGTGCTTTTCTGGCTGTCCTCTCCACACTGAGACGCTAGTAAAGGGCCTGGCTTCAAAATGGGTTCTTGATCTTAGAGGGCTGGGAGGCATGTCAGAGGCCACTGGCATTAGGGCTCAGAAGTTTATGGTTGTGAGTAATTCACTGTGAAGCTCCCAATAATGAAAATGGAAGGTAGCTAGCTAAGGTCAGTTTAGGTAGCCTACTAAAGACCACATACTAGAGAAACAGCCCCTCTCATCCAATTCCTAGGCTTGGATCATTTCATAGACCCAGAACCCTTTAGTAAGGGAGAGGAAAGGCACCACCAAGGAAGAACCCTGCCATACCACGTCAACACTCATATATAGCCGTGAACCTCCCTCTTCATCTTTCCCTAAGAATCTATAGTTATTTATCATGGTAACTGCAAACTGGGTAAAGGGAAATGCATCTTTTGGGGTCTACTGGGTTCCAGCCTTGAGCCAACTAATTCCTGGAATCCCAGAATGTCACCATGATATGCTAATTAGAATGCAGCCTTTGCAGGTCAGATGGTGGAAGGAGTTTTGGCCCAAACTGGCTTCTCATTAGGAGCTACCTATTAAGTGGCAGAATAGCCACACTGATTCTCCAACCAATTAGACAGGGACCATTACAAAAAGAGCAAATGCAAGCTCCCAGAGCAGTGATCTTTCTTTACCGAAAGTCTAAGTCCCTTGGTGAATTGCATAATCTTAAGTGCTACAGACAACTTTAAAAGCTGCAAGATAATGATGAGATAATCCATTTACATCTCTGAGTTTAGTGATGGCATGGAGTGAGTGTTCACTAACTACTAGTATTAGCTATTCTGTTGTTTCATATTACCTCTCCAAACAAGCCACCAAACAGACTAGCATGAAAGACGGACAGTCTTTACGAATGTCAGTGTACTATGGTAAACTGAATCAGCTGGAGCGGCAGATTTATAGTTGCTTTCCCCAGATGTACTCTCCTTTCTACAGATTAACACATAACTCCTGGTTATGCTATTAATAGGGGCAAATGTATGTTCTTTTTAAGTTGTGCAGACTATCTAAGGCAGTTACCCTTTCTGAAGACAGGAGCAGCCTCAGTGATAAATAATCTTGACCTTTCTATTCTGTGATCTGGTTCATGAGGATTCACAGGACATCACCCTGATAACTATACTGATAATACCAAGCTAACAGAAATTAAAGAGCAGGAAGTTATCTTAGATATACATGCTAAGATGTACACAATACAGTGGCCTGCCACCTCAGCCAAATCTTCTAACGGTCAAAGACCTGCAGCATGATAGATCTCTCCTCCAACATAAAGGACAATTTGCTGCTCCTTGCCCCAATACTCCTCCCTTGCTTAGGATGAGGAACAATGCTTCTAGGCCATTTTGGGTTTGGGGTATAGCATAGCATACCAGCAGTCCCCAATCTTTTTGGCACCAGGGGCCAATTTCATGGAAGACAATTTTTTCATGGACTGAGGAGATGGCTGAATGTGCTGGGGGTGGGGGTTAGGTGGGGGTGGGGGAGGTGATGTGGAGCTCAGGCGGTGATGTGTGGCCCACTTCCTAACAGGCCACTGACTGGTAGTGGGCTGTGGCCCAGGGGTTTGGGGATCGCAGGCATATACTATATGCTTGTATCCTGCTCCAACCCATTTATTGAGTGATCTGAAAAGAGAAGGCTCTCCAGCTGACCTAGGCCATGGAGATATTGGCTCTGATTCTATGGGGCTCTAAAGTGCTTGTGGTAAGACTAAAAAGGAGAATCATAATGAAAAACCTAGGACATGGGGACAAGACCATGCTCCCAGCTTAATATTGGGATCTAGAGTGTAGACCGTATGACTGACTATAAGGCACTAGGTATGCAAATGACTTCAACTCCTCCTCATAAGTTAGGTATTATGTGATCCAATAAGCCATAAATTTGGACACGCCAAGCAGAATTCAATCATCAACTGGAAGTGATGTGCATAGGATGCCTGCTACACAACCTACTCCCTCAACAGACACTCCTGACTGCCTGCTGACATCAACAGTTGACTGAAGGAAGAAAAAAGTCCAGCCTGGTACACAAATGGCTTGATGAGACATGCTGGCCCATGCTGGAAGTAGACTGCTGTGGGGTAACCTACTTAACCAACGGCTCTGAATGAGTATAAACTGGAGCAAGAAAAGAAATATTTATGTGCCATGTGAACCCTTACCAGACAGTACTCATTGCTAAGAACACAGGAGATGATGGTCAGCTCTTTCCTTTGCTACCCCAGTGCTGGCCCAATGAGCTCATAAACATGGTGGCCATGATAGCACAGCAAATGGCTCTCATCACAATATCTACCTTAATTTATGCACTGTGCTTCCAGACACTATCACCATCCAGGGATTTACTGGAAGGCCTTTAACATTGGATCTCAGGGAATATTATCTCCAAACAAAACTCATGGCAATGTGGCCAGGCATGGTGGCTCACGCCTATAATCCTAGCACTCTGGGAGGCCAAGGCGGAAGGATCGCTCAAGGTCAGGAGTTCAAGACCAGCCTGAGCAAGAATGAGACCCCCGACTTTACTAAAAATAGAAATTAGTGGAACAACTAAAATATATAGAAAAAATTAGCCGGGCATGGTGGCGCATGCCTGTAGTCCCAGCTACTTGAGAGGCTGAGGCAGAAGGATTGCTTGAGCCCAGGAGTTTGAGGTTGCTGTGAGCTAGGCTGACGCCATGGCACTCTAGTCTGGGCAACAGAGCAAAACTCTGTCTCAAAAAAAAACAAAAAAAACAAACAAAAAAAACAACCTCACGGCAATGGGATCACATATTCCATCATCCAGATTATGAAACAGTAAAATGCCTATCATAGACCCAGGTACAATGCTGAGGATGGGATGCTGTCTTGTGGTACATGATAAATGTTCTCAATCAATAATGAGCATTAAATGGTGCTGTTTTTCCAAAAGCCAGAAAAAAGGGTCCAAACTATTCCATTAAACTTTTGCCTGGTAAATGGTCTCCTGCTTCAACTCTTTCTGTCCCTTTCCATCTATTCTCCATATAGTAGTTAGTGATTTTCTCATTCTCCACTGCCCTAAGCTCTTCACTAGTGGAGCAGGTATGAGTGGTGATCTACCCACCCAGTAACCATCCTTCCTTTCCTCCTTTCCCAGAGCTCTTATTCTGTAGGGCCTGTCCACCCATCCCCTACATGGTCCAGGAATAATAATCTAAACTGGTCTCAGCTAACCATCATAACCCTATTTTTCCCTTGCTTGTGACTGGCTTAAGAAAGAGCATGTGATAAGGCAAGTCTCCAGAAGCTTCTGGGAAAATTTTTCTGATAAAAGGAAAAAGTGGTCATCCTTTGCCCACTGGACCTTGTTAGAGCTCCATGTGATGCCTAGAACTGGAGAAGCCATTGTGGCATCATGAGAGGAACCAGCCTACAAGATAAACTGACACATGGCTTAGTGGAAGGGTGTGAAGGAAAGTGATAGTTTAGCAATGATGAATAAACCAATTCTGGAACTGCTCCTCTACGTTCTTAAGTCCATTACCCTCTCCCTAATCATTGCCACTTTAGGTCAATCTACCAGCACTTTTGATCTTAACAACTTCTGCAGATCCTAACTATATTTCCTGCAACTATTCTGATCTCTCCATAGGCTACTCTCCATATAGAAGCCAGAGTCATCTTTCCAAAATACAGATCTGGTGGGTCCATGGCTTTCTACTTCTCTCATGGAAAGCTATAAGATTGATGGTCTGGCTAGCCTTCTTTGTTTCACCTCTTTCTATTCCCTTGAATCTCTGCCCTTTAGCCATACACATCCCTTCTTTAATTTTTTAAATGTGCCCTTCCCTTACTCACCCTCACTCCTGACAATTTGCTCCTGCTATTTCTAGAATGTTCCTTACTCCCCTTTCCCTGCCACCCATGTCTATGATTAGGTATCAATTAAAAAAAAAACAACATTTATTCAAAGAATCTCTTCTGACCTGGGATTAGAACTGGTGGTTTAAACATGTTCCACTTCCTTGTGGGAATTATTAAAAATACAAATCTAAATACTCAAGATGAGACCTGTGCTCTGCAGTCTACCTCATTGGTAGACTGGTCCTCATTTCCAGACTGAGCTACTCCTACTGTCTACTCTAGACACTTTGAAACCCCTGCTCTATACTCTAAAAGGCCATCTCTTAATATGGGCTCCTACAACTATGCACTAGTCCTTTATATTCTGTATTGCTGATTGGACTTATGTTGTTATTTTTGTTCTTGTTTGTGGGGTTTCCCTACTGGACACTGAGTTCCATGAGAGTAGGGATTGGATCTGTTTTTGCTCCCTACCATAACCCTGGCAGCTAGAATACTACCTGGCACATATTAGATGCTCAAACAAAAGAAGTAACAGATGTGATGATGAATAGACAGATGGATGGATGGGTGGGCAGATCTTTTTTCAAGTCCTATCTATAATCATACAGGAAGAGAATCCAATAAATTTGGTAAAAACTTCTCACCTCTTAAGCATTAGAAACCTGTTTTCTACCCCATGACTCAAAAGGCCTGACCTTAGTTAGGTCTGCCTTCCTCTCATCTGATACGCCACTTTCAACAAAGAACTCACATTAAATTCCTCTCTGAAGAGCTTATTGTCATCAGCCATTCTCCGGTTAATCTCCTCTTCCAGCTTGTCCACAGGCAGGGGTGGGTACTTCCTGTTGGTGCTTGGGGATCTGGCCAGAAGTGGCACACTTTGGGGCTCTGCAGTGCAGAAGAGGGGGGGAAGAGGTCAGGCAGGTGCCCTGGGGACCCAGCCCCTTTTCTGGAGACTAAATTGGGGATTGTTTCTCATGGATCAAGCCTCCATGATCTAGGGCTGTTTTCTTCAAGTTGTTTATTTTTCCCCTTTTTTATAGTCTTATTTTTTTTAAAGGATGAGGAAACCCCTAATTTCTTGATTTTCCTTGTGAGAGTTCTCCATGCCATTAAGGGGTGCCTTACCCACATCCTCAGTGCGGCCATTGGATAAGCGGAAAGAATTGGAATGGCTCCCAGCTTGCTTGTACTTCTTAAACCTAATGAGAAAATGTTCATAGTGAAAAATGAAGCATAGAGGAGCAAGAGGCAAGTCATTGGCTGTGTATTCCTACTTATCAACACAGCCTTTCTAAATCTCCTTCATCAAATAATCAGGCTCTTTCAGAGACAGGTCACACACATCCTGAGGCAGCTCCATGCCCTGGTGACTGCATACCCTGGGCTACTCTTGTTTACCCTCAGCATACTAGAATTCAACCCAGGTAACACCAACAGTATATTCTGGCTGGCATGGCTCCTCTGTGTAGCCCTAGTTCCAAGACCCACTGAAGAGGACAGCTGTAACAGGTGGAGAAAGGATGAGTGAGCGGAATGCAGTGGGAGAGGTAGAAAGATCTATATCAAACAAAAAATCCTGGTATTTCATCAGTGCAGGCTGGGAGCCCCCAGGGAGAAGCCCAGAGCTTCAGACTAGGTGGGCACAAGTCTCCTGCAGAATAATGGGGACATATGCCAAATTGTAGGGGGCACACAAGGTTCCCTTCTCTATCCTTGGAAAACAAGAGGGGGCACAGCACAGGTTAAGCCAAAGACAAGGTAAAGCTAAACCCAGTTAGTCAGGGCAGTAGCTTAAGCAACAAGAGAACAAATGCACCTTGGGTTCCCCTTCCTTGCTTCTGCTCGCTATTTGAGTGGTAATGTCTACAGGATCCTGAAAGAGGAATCCTGTAATTCACATGGTTCAGCTCAGCACGTCAGGGTCCCAGAGGGGGCTGGGGACAAAGCCCCAACTAGAAATAAAGTAGGCTTTTGTTGAGCATGTAATCTTACTGAGGCCCTTTTAGGGGTTGCTTCAACAGGACTAGATCTGAAGATCCTGAAACATCTGTCACTAATAAAACAAACTGTGGCTTCTTACCCCAACCTCCAAACAATCATTTGGGCTTTAGATTGAATTGCAGTTGGGGGACTAGGCTTGGAGAAATGAAAAAGGGGAGGATCCAGGGCTTAAGGAAGACTATGTAGAATTTTTAAACCATTTCTAAGTAGAATCTTAATCTTAGCACTATCATGAGTCATTTCCCCTCTATCCTACTCATTGTTCTTATCATACTACCTACTGGACTGTGTGGGCTTACTGAGACACTGGAGTATTGAAACAGAGTCTAAGCAGAAGGATTAACATGCTCACCTTAACATATAGAGAACTATGATAATAAACACGATCACTAGCAGAGAAGACAGGGCCACCATCACTGCAATAATTGGCGTCTCATCTGAAATCAAGAGAATAGAGTAAGTCATTACCACATTGTGCAATGGAGGGCTCAAGTCAGCTGCTCAGGGAAACACCCTGATGAGGAAGAAGAGCTCATTCAGTACTTCTGCAGATGGCAGGACATGGAAACACAGAGAGAAGACAGTGTGAATGTGTACCTCCCACTGCCGCTACCAGGGTGGGGGAGAGCACAGGGGCAAGGGTGACATGCCTATCCTATCTCTGATATACATCTATGTATTGTCTCCCTGCATTAGAATGAAAGCTTTTTAAAGGCAGAGACTTAGTTTTATTCATTGCTGTAATCTTTGAGCATAAAACAGTATTTAGCACATAAAAAGTACTCAAATAACTGCAGGCACAAACACATCCAATCCTGATGGTAGGCTGGGTGTGCAAGGCCAATACCGTATTCTCTCCTAGCCTCAATGGGCTCCATCTAAAGGAAGATGGGAAAGGAAGGGAAAAAGACAGTTTTCCTATCATAAACCCAAATGGCTTCCTGGCACAGAGAATATTGTTCCTGATTAAGACAAACAGACATCAGACCCCTAGGCACTATGTATCAAAAACTGCTGGGAGCTTCTATACATACCCTGCTCCCCCAGTCTCCTCTTGCCAGGACCCTAACTATACCAACATGCAGCTTGGAGACATGGCAACCCTCTGTTCCACAGGGCCTGGCTTCCTTTCACCCAGTGCTTAGCCTCATTTCTCATTCAGCTGACTGTGTGCCAAGTCATCCTTGTCCACTCTCACCTCCCACCATGAACTACACCACCAGTTTGAGTTTGTATCTATCTTTACCATTTTCCTACCCGCTAAAAGAGGGGACACGTTCCTCCCATGTAAAGGCCAATCCCATCACGTATGCTCTGGATTTATATCCATTTCTGTCATCTCAAAGATTTCCTGACATCATTTACCCAGCTACTACCAGTCCTGTGTTATTCTTCTCAGCTAACTTCTCACGACAGGTGTCTAATTTGTTTTCTCTAATTCCTCACCTCTGGGTTCTCCTTAATTTATCTGCTCCAATTCTCACCTTCAGTGCTCTGTTTAAACTGCTCAGCCAGGACACCAACAAATGGAATATTGTCAAATCCAATGACACATTCCCACCTTCATCCAATTCAACCTCTTAGCATCATTTATTCAAAAAATATTTATGGACCAGCAATTGTATGCCAGGCACTGTTTAAGACATTGGAAATGGAGAAGCGATCAAGCAGACACGTGATAGAAAGCTTATGTTCTGTGAGGGAGGAGGAGGACACTGTTCACGAACAAGCCAATACTTAAATTCAGACAGGGACAAGTGCTATGAAAGAAAAAAAGCAGGGTAAGGAGATAGAAAGTGACGGGTTAGTGGGCAGTGATAAAGTGGTTTGGGAAAGTCTCTCTGAGGAGACTGTATCTAAGCAGAGCTCTAAATAACGTGAAGAAGTGAAACATGGAAAGACCTGGGAATTGCAAGCGTAATAGTCCATAGGAGCTTGATGGGTTCGAGGACTAGTACAAAAGCCAATGTGGTAGGAGATGCCAATGAGGTAGGTGGGCAGGAACTAGCAGACTCAGGGCTTTGTAGTCCATGGTACTGAGTGTGGCTTCAATTCTGAATGTGATGAGAAACACCATGTGATTGGAGGGCTTCTGAACAGAGGAGAGATATAACTGGATTTACATTCTTTTAAAAGATCAGCTAAACTGACTCATAAGCAGCAGCTATGAGGTGGGAGGTAATCAGGCAGAATATGGTGTCACGGAAGCCTAGAGCAGAGTTTTTCAAGGAGGGAGTACTCAACTCAAATACTGCCTACAGAGTCAGTAGGAAGAGGTGAAATAAAACCAGATTTCACAAGATGGCAGCTATTGGTGACTTTTTTTTTTTTTTTTGAGACAGAGTCTCGCTTTGTTGTCCAGGCTAGAGTGAGTGCCGTGGCGTCAGCCTAGCTCACAGCAACCTCAAACTCCTGGGCTCGAGTGATCCTACTGCCTCAGCCTCCCAGGTAGCTGGGACTACAGGCATGCGCCACCATGCCCGGCTAATTTTTTTTATATATATATCAGTTGGCCAATTAATTTCTTTCTATTTTATAGTAGAGACGGGGTCTCGCTCTTGCTCAGGCTGGTTTTGAACTCCTGACCTTGACCAATCCGCCCGCCTCGGCCTCCCAAGAGCTAGGATTACAGGCGTGAGCCACCGCGCCCGGCCCTATTGGTGACTTTTTAAAGAGCGGTTTCATTAGTGGGTGAGAGAGTCTAAATGAAGTGAAATAAAGATAGAAAGAGGAGAAAGTGAGATACTGACTCCTTTTATGAGGACTGTTACAATAAAGAAATGCAGAGGAAAGGAGCGGCAGCTGGAGGGACATATGAGGTGGATAGTTGTTTTTTGTTTGTTTCAAAGAGATGGGAGATATTATACCATGCTTTTTTGTTGATGGCAAGTTTTGACCATACTGTGGTAAGTGGCTCTCATCTTAAAATGAGCGTTCAAACTGGCTGATCACTCCTTCCTTTTTTTTTTCCAGTGATGCCTTTTTTTTCCTTTGTTGCCCAGGCTAGAGTGAGTGCCGTGGCGTCAGCTTAGCTCACAGCAACCTCAAACTCCTGGGCTCAAGCGATCCTCCTGCCTCAGCCTTCAGAGTAGCTGGGACTACAGGCATGCGCCACCATGCCCAGTTAATTTTTTCTATATATTTTTAGTTGTCCCACTAATTTCTTTCTATTTTTAGTAGAGATGGGGTCTCGCTCTTGCTCAGGCTGGTTTCGAACCCCTGACCTTGAGCAATCCGCCCGCCTCGGCCTCCCAGAGTGCTAGGATTTACAGGCGTGAGCCACCTCACCTGGCCTCCCTCCTTTTTGAAGCACCTTCCTCTCTTGCTTTCCACTACACAGCAGCCTTCTGATTTTCTCTGTCTCTGGGCTGCTCCATCTCAGTGTTCCTTGCTAGTTTTTCCCCTTCTAACACCAGATCTCTAAATATGGGCATTCCTCAGGGTTTTCCATCCTTGGTACTCTTCTCTACACTCTTATCTAGATGATCTGATTGGGTAGATGGCTGCAAGTACAAATGATATGCTAGCAGTTCCCACACTTGCATTGCTTGGTCGTACCTCTCTCCTGAGCTCCAGACACTCAACTGCCTATGTGCCACCTCCACTTCAAATTTCATAGGCAACACAAATGTTCTGTGTCTAAAACCTTTTCCTTGGCATTCAGTAGCTAGCACTGTCATCCATCCTGTCACTGAAGAAATGTGGAAATCCTTTGTTTCTTCCTCAAGCTTATCTTTTACATTCAACCCAGTTGCAAGTAATATATTTTAGGGATATACCTAAAACCTGAAATCTGTCTGTCTTCCCCTTCTCTACTATCACCAGTGTAGTTCCAACCTCCATCTTCCCTTACCTGGCCTCTGGCCCCTGCCAATCCATTTCCACAAAGCAGACAAGGTGATCTCTATGAAAGCAAATCAGATCATGTCCCTCTCTTATGTAAAACCTTCCAGTGATTTCTCATACCTGCAGAATGAAACTGAACCTCCTTACTGTGTCCTCTCACAACCTCCCCAATTTAGCCCCTACATACCTCCTGTCTCCTGTGCTCTTTCTTTGCTCTCTAAATTTCAGCCACGGGCATCCTTCCATGCTGAGTTCCTTCATCCTTAGGCCTTTGAACATGTTATTACTTCTGCTTCATATAGCCTCCCTCCATTCTTTGCCTGGCTAACTCCCACTCACCCAGTTCTCATTTTTAAAAATGTGTTACTTTTCCGAGGTCTTCTTTGACTTTCTAATACTAAATTAGGATCATACGTCTCCATTTCCTCATCTCTAAAATAAGTTATTCTGAAGATTAAATGGGATCATCCATGTAGAGTTCTTGGCACAGTAACTAGCACACACTGTGTACTCAGTCAGTGTTAGCTATTATTTTCTATATTATTATCATAGAGCAAGCACCCTGTTATTTCCCTTGATAATACCTCTCACATGTTGTAAGTATATATTTATTTGACTGTAGTTGATTAATGAGTGTCCCTCCTTTATAGAATAAACTCCACAAGGGCAAGGATTATATATCTGCTTTGTTTCTCACTATATACCTAAAACCTAGCACAGAGTTTAACATACAGTAAGCACTAAACAAATAATGGATTATGTTGAGAGAATGAACAAAAGAATTAGTGATTTATCACTAAATATGTCTTTGTTAAATTCCAACCACAGAGGGAAGTATATCAGGTATTATAAGAAAGTAACTAGACACATCTGACATCTGACAGTGGGGCTGAATCTATAAATTTGCTTCTTTCTTTTCCCCAAAGCACATGGAAATGATACAAGAAACATAAAAATATTAATCAATCAACAGCATATCTGAAAGGCAGCAAAGGGTGGCATCTGAAGAGCAGAAACTTTGAGAGATTTCTGGAGGACAAAATAGATGGGACTCAACTGCTGGAGAGGTCAATCAGCCCAAGAATCTCCAGCTGAAAACTAAGTACTAAGTTTTACCAGTTTGGGCCCTAACCTCACAGTCAGCTGGGAACGGGGTTGAAAGTGGATGTTGGGATAGCAGGATGATATTTAAACAAAGGCCTGCCAACTCAGAGCCAGTACACCCACAGGCTAAATGACAAGCTGGGGTTTTCCATCCAGACTCAGCTAGAAAAACAGAGTGGGGAGTTTGTCACAGAGAGTGGTGAAGGTTGTGGGTTTTTTTATTTTTATTTTTGCAAATGATAATCTGCTTATATACATATATTTTCTCAAACTCACACTAATGACATTTTGGGTTAGATAATTCTCTGTTGTATGGGGTCTGTCGTGTGCACTATAGGATGTTTAACATCATCCTTGCCTCTAACTACTAGATGTCAGTAGCAAACCCCGATTGTGATCAAAAGCATCTCCAAACATTGCTAAATGCCCTGTCAGGGGAAAATTATCCTGAGTTGAGAACCACTGGTCTATACCGCCATCCCCACTG